AATTTATTTATGTTGGATATGCTTATATGGTGATACAGCCTAACATTAGCCAACGAAAATGTCTACAATCATTTATGTTAGTGCTTCTGGATTTATGCGAACGCTTCATCCTTGGCCCCTTTGTTGCTGATAGTAAAACAAGTGATTTTAGTCGGCTATGTTGCCAAAATATAATAAGTCCATATGTGAAACTGTTTTGAGGTTATGGGCTTTTTGGTTCGTGTATGTCAAGTATTTTAGGAGAAATGGATTTTGTTGAGCAAAGGACAGTAAAAAATGTCTGCCAAGGAGAAACTTATAACAATATTGTGGTAAGTATTCAGGTTCTTATGATATAGTCAGATGCTGTCGTAGAAATTTCCAGCATGGAAAGACATCTACTTTGTCTGTTATCAAGCAAATCTTTATGCTGTGTACCGTTTTACAGTACAAATTCTAATTTATTACTGCTTTTATTCCATTTTAATTCCGCGCTCGATGTCTACCGGCTCGACTGAGTTTAGACTGTGACTAACTGCTTCCGTCATCATCTGGTCCGGTATTTATCCACCTATCGACGTGTCGGGAAAAGTTCTAGTGTTTGAAGTTGGTGCCTCCAGATGGAACTCGGTTTTTCTTGAATCTTGACTGCCGCTCACACGTGGTCGCATAACTGGTTGCCTAAACATCGACTCTGCAGGCCACCCCTCGCTGCTCAAGGTCCCAGCTATACAAAGGTGTTACAATATTAAACATGTGATTGTTTAACCAGTTTGTCAGCATAACCTCTAAAACTCAATACGAAGAGACGTAAACGTACTAATTGATACACGAGAAGATTATAGGCATGGTTTTAGCTGCGCACTCAGCGTCAATTTTACAATCAATTGTTGTGGCAAGTCCAAAATCTCCTTTTTCAGCGTCAAGCCGGCAACAGGGTGCTCAGCCACAATAACCCCACTTAACCTCTGACCGTGAAGCGATACAGACATTTTATTTTGCACCTGCTGTTACCCGCGACTTCGTCGACTTGCAACTGTTACTAACACAAAACGTTGTTTTCAAGAAATGCTACGAACTTCCGATGACGTTTTGTATCAGTAAATTGACAGCCAACTTGCATGCTTGGGAAATTAGGTTACTTTATTACTGGCGTCGTCTACACGTCCTACTTTTAAAAACGCGGGCCAGAAAGCTAGTAACTATATATAACAAAATAGTTGATTCAAAATCATCACTCTATAAGATGGCGGTATTCGGATATCTCCCATAGGCAACGGGCTAGACTGTAGTCCCTACTGTCAACAAGGGATGCTTCTATCTATATATAGTTATAAATGCTACGAGACTTCTAGGTCTATGTGTGCATCTTATCAGCAATCATACGCTCACATATGCCTGGGATAAGTCCAAAGCGTAATATTTACCTTCTGATTAAAACGAAGCCATTGCGTGATTTGAAGTGGCCAAGATTAATTACTCTCTGCATATCGTCCATCTGCTGACGTTGTGAAGACATCATAAATATCCCGAAGTAATAGGCCAGTAAGATGATTCACGGCCTCTTATAGTCACTAATCATAATTAAGGACAGTGTGTGTTAGTGGAAATGAAGAATTATAGTTTCAATTTCTGTGCAGACCTTCCCGTTTACAAAAGCGCTTATCGCAAGTTATCACGCGACACGTGTAGCATATCGAAGTAGGGATGTGCCGGGTAATAGATTAGCTTTGTTCAGATTGGTCACTGTACTAGGCCAGGAAAATTATCTAAAATGTGTCATAGTATGGATTTGCAAGGTAATAGATTAGCTGTGCCCAAATTGGTCACTGGGTTGACCAGGAAAATTCATTGAAACAAAGAATACATCAGACCTCACAAGAAACGATACTAGTCTACTTTCCATAAATTAGAGGAAAAGTATTGTATTTTTTTAATGAGTGATATGGTATTCTATTATGTTCTTGACGAAAAGTTTTGTCAAATGTTTGTCCATCTTTCAATGTCCGTTAATTTTTTGCTTTTTGCTTTAATCTTTTCGTGGTTTCACCTTAAGTTTGGAAAAGTTGACATACTTACAGATCTCCAACATATCATATTATATACGTATATATACAGGGTGTCCGCAAAGTTGGGGTTTCCGTTTTCAGAAACAACTACCCTTGAAATAACAAAGGCAATGTGTAGTGAAACGAGGGCGACCAAGTAAAAAAAAAATAAAGGACTCCACTCTCCAGTTGACGAGAAGAGCTAAGTACGTCTCTGCCCGAAATCATACCGCTCCAACAGAAAATGAAATCAGCTGATGCGCTACCGAGCAGACGCAGAAACCACATTGATTGTCTTACACTTAATGGCACATCTTCTAACAAGGAAGGCAAAATGTTGCGTAAAAAGTCTAGGTATTGCATCCCGTCCAATCGATTTGGGAGAATAAATGGTCCAATGAGCATACCGTTCACCATGCCAGCCCAAACATTCACCGAAAATGTTTGTTGAAAATGTGCCCGACGGACAGCGTGCGGATTTTCTACTGACCAAACATGAGTGTTGCGAAAGTTATTCACTCCATTACGCGTGAACGTAGATTCGTCTGTCACCAATATGCACTTCAAAAAGTCCGGATTATTGTCATGTTGATGAAACGAGGGCGACCAAGTAAAAAAAAATAAAGGACTCCACTCTCCAGTTGACGAGAAGAGCTAAGTACGTCTCTGCCCGAAATCATACGGTTCCAACAGAAAATGAAATCAGCTGATGCGCTACCGAGCAGACGCAGAAACCACATTGATTGTCTTACACTTAATGGCACATCTTCTAACAAGGAAGGCAAAATGTTGCGTAAAAGTCTAGGTATTGCATCCCGTCCAATCGATTTGGGAGAATAAATGGTCCAATGAGCATACCGTTCACCATGCCAGCCCAAACATTCACCGAAAATGTTTGTTGAAAATGTGCCCGACGGACAGCGTGCGGATTTTCTACTGACCAAACATGAGTGTTGCGAAAGTTATTCACTCCATTACGCGTGAACGTAGATTCGTCTGTCACCAATATGCACTTCAAAAAGTCCGGATTATTGTCATGTTGATGAAACGAGGGCGACCAAGTAAAAAAAATAAAGGACTCCACTCTCCAGTTGACGAGAAGAGCTAAGTACGTCTCTGCCCGAAATCATACCGCTCCAACAGAAAATGAAATCAGCTGATGCGCTACCGAGCAGACGCAGAAACCACATTGATTGTCTTACACTTAATGGCACATCTTCTAACAAGGAAGGCAAAATGTTGCGTAAAAAGTCCACGTATTGCATCCCGTCCAATCGATTTGGGAGAATAAATGGTCCAATGAGCATACCGTTCACCATGCCAGCCCAAACATTCACCGAAAATGTTTGTTGAAAATGTGCCCGACGGACAGCGTGCGGATTTTCTACTGACCAAACATGAGTGTTGCGAAAGTTATTCACCCCATTACGCGTGAACGTAGATTCGTCTGTCACCAATATGCACTTCAAAAAGTCCGGATTATTGTCATGTTGATGCAACAACCACTCACAAAACCGCACTCTTGCTGGAAAATCGTCAGGTTGAAGCGCTTGTACACGTTGGACGTGAAACGGATACAGCCCCTCTTCACGCAGCGTTTGCCACACTTTAGTTTTTGATACTTGCACTTCTCTAGCCACGTCTCTAGTGCTTGTTGAGGGATTCTCGTCTACGCGATTACCTCTACACGCGTGACCGTAACCGTCGGTTGAAGGTTGCATACTGACCTGACACACTGACCCCGACCCAGTTCTGTCGTCGGGTTGAGACCTTGTACCAGTCGGTGATGTCGCGGCTACAGGACGGTATTCAGATATTTTTGATGTTGCAGAGCCCTTTATCTCAGTTCCCTTAAGACATTGGTGTATATGGTACTAAGAAAAATTGCTTATGTTTTCAAGATCTACACGTCGTGTAAAATACATTCAACCTCCGGAAAAAGATTAAAGCAGACATTTACAATAAACATATAATGAAGGTGAAATGCTAGACATATGTATTAAGAAAAAGACAGCCCCTTTATGTGATTTCTCTGTGTGTAATACAAGCAGCCACACTTCAATATTTTTGAGATATTGCCAAAATTTATATTACAAAAAGTAGAAGGAACGTTTTCGTATTTCTGTCTCTCAAGCAAGGTTCATAGAAATGAATGCTAGAAAATATTACGCTAGCGTGTAGGCTATTATGCAAGAATTTGTACAAAATGCATAAAGCATTACATTTTCGCGTTAGATCCGGATATTTTAATTTAAATATAAAAGTAAGATGCTCGTAAGATATATCCCTGTGAGGATAAGTACAGTCAGGCTTATGAGCGAGCAGTTTCAAAAAGCGTTTGACAGTCAGAAAGCACCTCATCGGCTATAGTATAGGCGGAGGCAAATTGACTCTTCTTTCTGGTAAAACTAATTACGCTTCACTTTTTTACAGTCAAACCAAGTTTGCCTACTTTACACCAATTCTGAATATTATCCAATTCCATCTGTAAGGTATGACAGTCCTCCATACTTGTAATAAATAGGAAAATTTTCAAACTGTCAGTATAAAGAAGTGTGTTTCAACTGAGAGTATCACATAAGATGTTTATAAATAACTTGAACAGTAATGGGCCAAGATTTGACCTTGTGGCATCTTCAATGTGCAAGCAAGATTGCATACCATACCGTCATTGTTTTCGATATTGAAACGTTTTGTCCATAGTAGTCATCACGTTATTAATATCGCGCATTTAGGGCCAGTACAACATCTGAAAACACGCTCAATTCTGCGCGCTCTTGACATTGCGCTTTTGCCATCGCAACCAAGGTGGAAATGATCATGCTTGAAATTTGGTTTTATGATATACCCTCCTTACTCAGGTTTCTCGATGCTCGGGAAGGTGAACGTGTGCAGTTCTAGAGGGGTTGAGCTAAATTTTTCGCTGCAACCAAAAGTCATAATATTTAGGGTCTAAAATGTGATTTTGTATTAATGTTTTTTTTTGTTGTTGCAGATGACGATTCAGCGACAGTGAACGGCATCATAACCAGCGATGGACTATTCGAAGGAACAGTAACGACATCTTCGGAAGAATATCACATAGAGCCAGTCAACAGATACGTCAGTCCTGGAATGAGAGAACCGACATTTCATTCCATAGTTTATAAGAATTCTGATGTCCAAGATCCACGAAAAGGTTGGTATATTGTTTTCTGTTTTAGTTACATCTACGGTTTTTTATCCTTAATAGTCACTTAAATTCATACAGACCATAAAAGAATAAGATGAGGATTTTATAAAAACTGCACCCAAGGCACTTCTGTGGAGTTGGAGACCTTTAAGAGCTGCCACTGGAAATTGTTTATTCTCAAACATATTCTGAAAAATTCTGGTGTATCCTAAGCAATACTGTATAGTTGGCTACAGAGCTGTTATGTCTGTTTACATTTTTTCTGCTTCGTTACTTTACTACTTTACTATCTGTACAAATTATCCACTTGGCAAAGATCGACCAGATAGGACGTAATGCTTGCCGCTGCTCTTCACAACGTGCGTTACGATCGCTTTGCATGAGACTGGCGTCACAAAAACTGCCGCGTCAAAACGTAATATAATGCTAAACGCGCGTTTTTCTACCGCGTGACAATTTAACGTCCGTGTGTGTTGGCTGTTAGGCGTGCGTCGAGACGCATCCCGCAGCATGTAGCCGCGCATTTCAGTGCGACGTTTTAACGCCTGCGTGCAGCACCATTTAGAGATGGCAGGTGCGTTCACAGTTGTAATCAATGTATCAGAAAATGAGGAATTGATTAGAATACTTTCTTTGCGAATTTCTTGAGCTCTATCAAGGCTGTAACTAACTCACTGTGATGAGAGTTGGTGGAAAATATTTTTTTGGAGTCTCGAGCGGGCTAATGATACTTTTTTATACCGAAGCAGCCGCGTAAGCAGAAGCCTCAGGTAGATTGATCCACAATCTCAATACCCTAGGACAGGGTTTCTCAACCTTTGTTTGTTGAAGCTCCCCGGACTATAAATTATATTTTCATGTCCTCCTTTTCCTTTTCAATAAATACAAAAAAACGCACATTATACAGGCACAAATATTTTTATTTTAATTCTAGTAAAGAAACTTTAAAAGTTTAAATAAACCAATAAAAGTTTTTTTTCGAAAAACTTGAATAAAGTTGATTGATTGTAGGTTCTGTTTTTGTCAGAGCTATCATCAGGTCGCTATCGACATCAAGACGATTTCGCTGTTTAGTTTTAATTAAAACTAGAGTAGAATAGCTTGTCTCATATGAGTAAGTTGAAGTAACAGGAGCTAGTATTCATAAAGCAAGAAAGGCAAGTGTCGAATTAACAGGTACTCTTTTGATCCAAAATTTCTCCAATGTTAAAAGGTGGAAGTGATCTTTCATGGACGAATCAGCCTTCATTTATAGGAAGTCTTCCTGAATTTCTTCTGGTAATTGTGACACATCGACAACAAATGTGTTTCTTGTCATGTGTCATATTGGTGACTCTGAATTGATGTCTCGATAGTATCGGCGAAATTCGTCTTCCAGCGCTTGCAAATGAGGTTTTGTCAGCTTTTAAATTTGCGTCCAGTATGTTATTTTTAATTGCTTCGAACACCAGAGAAAAAGAAATAACGTTTTCAGAAGACACTTTTTGATTCCAAAGTTGAAGCTTTGATATGTCATCTTTGAACATTGTCAAGAAATTGTGTTTTTCTTTCAACTCAAAAAGAAAACTTCTTCTTTCAATTCATAAAGGCGAGCCAACATGTTGCCTTTGGAGAGCCAGCGTACTTCTGTATGGATCAGAAGAACTTTGTGATCAGAATCGAGATTCTCGCAATGTAAAGTAAATAACCGACTGTTCAAAGCGCTGCTCTTGATGTACTTTACAATCCTTATAGCCGAGTCCAAAGTCTGGCGTAATTTCTGTGGTCATGTTTTGGTAGCCAAAGCTTGCCGATGAATAACACAATGTGTACTAACCATTTCGGGATTTTTTCCTTGAACTTTTTAGCTAAGCTCGATCGTCACCTATCATTGCACGTGCGCCATCTGTATAAAGTCCAATGAGTGCTTTCCAATCCAAATAATTTTTTTCAAAATAATTTGATATTGAATTAAATATATCTTCAGATTTAGTACCTGCTGTCAAAGATTTTGAGTACAAAATCTCTTCTTGAATGATATCTGCGCCGATGTAACTATTAACTGTGCACAATTAACGATGTCGGTGGATTCATCGCAACTAATGGCAAAAAATGTCGATAATTTTACTTTGTTAATTATTTGTGACTTTATGTCTGCTGCAATGTCATCGATTCTATGCTTGACTGTGTTATTCGAAAGAGAAATAGACTTCATTTTTTGCTCTACACCTTCTCCCTCCCAAAATGATCTGGGTGGCTTTTAGGACACATGGTTTTATTAATTCTTCACCGATAGTATGAGGTTTCCTTTGCTTTGCTATCATAAAAGCTATTTCAAATGAAGCTTTGAGATGCTGCGATACACTTGTGTAATAACTTCCTGATCTATCCAGTCTCATCCACTTGAGTGATTCTGCTTCAGAAAAAAAAAAACTATTTCGTCTTCAAAACCAGAGTAGGATGTTTGTTGCTTCAAATGCCTTTCAAGGCGATTGGGCCTCATGCTATCATTACGCAAAACTTTCATACATATCACACACTGAGGCAATTGTAACTCGTCTTTTTCTATGAAGGTAAATCCAAACTTAACGTAATCTTCGGAAAACTTTCTTTTTTTCGCTGCCATTTTGCACCTATAACAATAAAACAAATAAGTAATAAATAAATAAGCAAAATACCTACATTTAATTATTAATTATATGCCCATCATTTTATCGTAATGTATACAACTGTATACTGGCCACCGGGAGATTTATATTTCTGTAGGCAGGTTGACGTTGTAATAGTAATTTTAAATACATTTGGAATCAATATTAGGTACTTATAGTTCGTCGTTTCAAAATTATTTCGCCATGTTGGTTTGATTGTGATGTGGTAAGGAAGTCCCAATGGCCGATCTATGAACGCGTCTCCACTCAATCAACAATTTAGTAAATTGAATAAAAATGTTAACTGAAGTTTGTAAATACACAAACTTACCTTTTAACAGTGAGACACAATAATTTGACACACTCAAACAGATTTCTAAACAAAACATGTACATCGAAACGTCAAATTTTTCGCAAGTTTGTGGGAATGAATGTCACAGGTGCTCATCCGCGTCTGGTCGGTACGCCCGGTTTTGAAACAGCGGTTGACAGAATAAGTGAATATATTTAATTTCTAATTTTATGCGTGTAAGTTAAACATTACATTGTTTGTGATGTTATTTGTTAATTATGTTTGTTTATTTTTTTTTGTTTTTTTATTTCTAAAATACAAAGCTTGACACTGTTACGATGGGAGACCGAAGCCAGGCGTGTCTGTTTGGCAGTCTTTTGGAAGCATTGTTATTCAAATCTCACTCCCTAACGCCCCGCAAGAAAATAAGCATGGCATAATAGCGATGTTGCAGACTGTGCTACAACGACTTTTGACATGATTGCATAGTAAAAATTAATCAACAACAGTGTTACAATGGGGGTCGCTTCTTTCCAGGTCAACCATGTGCCTCTCACCGCCTGAGCCTTAAGAACGACCATGGAGAAGATAACCATCTCCGCAAGAAACGTTGGCTGCTCGAAGCTGAAGCTAAGCTGCCCTTCGACGATCCTCCCAGCTTCTTTTTTCCTAATCATAACAGAACTAGGCGACCGTTTACATCAATTTTCGATATCAGTCAACCTATCGATGAGGAACTCGAGATGACTGGAGGAAACAGGTGAGAACATCAGATAAATAGCTTTAAGAGTTTGGCATTTTACGTCTTCTGATTACATTACTAAATATGAAATCGATTTAAATAATTAGTTTTGGATCTAAATCTATCAGTGATAGAATGTTAGCTACTGGTAGCTGGCTTAAGTAATTATTGCAGCTCCCGACAGATCTTAAAAAGCCAATCAAGCAGCAAATCCGATTTCAGGTTAAATTGAAGCTTTCCATCCATTTTTTGACCTACAGGTAGAATCAGTTGTTTCAGCAATATTACAGCACACTGTGATTCAGTTTTGTTGGCTTTGTTTCAAGGCATTGAGCGCGCTCATCCAGAATAAAGCAGTCCACCGATGCAGTACTTTTATGCTAAGAAGCTATTAGCTTTGACATTTCATAAAGTTTAATCAACAAATTGTCAAATGTGACCAGCTAAGTGAATACTGCTGTCAGACTGACAAGGTTACTGGTATTCAGCATAAAAGCGCTGCACCGTTGGCCTGCTTTACGTCTACTCAGACTTGTCTGAGCTTTCCGATATGTTGAAAGCAAATCACCCAAGCTGCTATATGTATAAAATATCACTTATTACCTTATTTTCTTGTTCCAGGAGCACAATTGATCTTTCGAACTTAATCTTCCGAAACGTGAACAAACGAGCAACAGTAGACCCAAAGAAAACCACGTGTATGCTGTATCTGCAGGCAGATCACCAGTTTTTCACGAAGTACGGTACTGAAGAGGCTTGCATTGAAGTTATGACCAGGCACGTCCAGAGGGTGAATTATATCTACAAAAGTACCGGTAAGCCTTTTAACTTCTTTGTGGTGTGGTAAAATGCTGAATGGAATGTTGGTTTTTGTCTGCAGTACATTTACGAGGGTGTATCAAAAAGTTTCTTAACTAGCTTCGTAACTTACGAGGACGAGGTTGTGCCTGCTGTATAAATCAGCCGATAACCGCACAAGTGCGTGTGGTTCATTATATCGCTATTGTTTTACAAGAAGTCTATTTAGTGTTTTTGTGTTCGCTTGATTTCCTCTGTCGGCGATTTCATTATGAACGAAAAGTTGGTATCGGCAATGTCATCACCGTAAAGCTACCAAACCTTATGAGGTCTATGAATTAAGTAACGAGACAGACAATGTAGCGTTTGATCTGGCAACAGTGGAGGCGCCGGACTTAGAGGCGAGACAGGGGAACATGTGATCTGTCTTCAGTACAAGTTTGAACTCGTTCGAGTCATTTGGTTGTCCGTGAAACATTTTTTTCTAATGTGTTCTAATAATAAGTGACATCAATTTCAAGCAACGGTGTGCTATCACGTTCTGCTTCAGGCGTCTTCACAGCGCAATGGAAACTCTTGCTAAACAGGCCTACGGAGATAGTGTATTGTCAAGGTTTTTCGGTGGGTTAAGGCATTTTTCGAAGGGACAGAGTCGATTGAAGATGAACCATGAAGTAGAACGCCTTCATCTTCAAGAGCCGATCAAAACATCGACAGAATCCGGAATCTTGTGCATTCAAATCGTTGACAGTTAGAATGACATAAGTAGAGATGCATCATGATAATGCTCCTTGTCAAAGAACAATGTCAATAAACATTCAAACGGATGTAATCGTTCCAGCACTGCTATGAGGAATGGAGGAGCCGTCTCCAGCGTTGTGTGGCTTCAGAAAAAAGTTATTTGAGGGTGACAATATAAAATTGTAATTATATTTGAATAAAAAAAACAAAAAATAAGTCTCATCACTTCATTTACAGACTTCCTATTTACTCTTTCTGAAGGTCATTTTCCAAGTCTCATGCTCTTTGCTCAAACTTTTTTATGCTGTCAGCCCTTTCTTCGAGCTAGTTGTGACTCCCGTACAGTGTTGCCGAACCTACCGATTTTTCGGTATTTCTACCGAAATGCGACTTATTTACCGAAAACTTCCTCATTTACCATGATTTTATAAAATAGTTCAGATAGTTATAGTTTTTTTTTACCGAAAAAGAGCTATAACTAAAAACAAAACTAAACTAATGACTTCCATGTCACACACAGATGATATTACTATATATTTATGTTTTTTTTTGTAAATCTAGATACATTTATCGTATGTGACCAATTTATTTTAAAACTGTCAAAGTAGACTGGGTGGCAGAGTGGCGAGGGAGCGATTATGTACTGCCGAGTAACCACGACTTAAGCTTCTTTTTAAAATTGTTAAGAGTATAATTTTGAAATTCATATGGAAGACTATTGTATAACTTGGCAGCAGTATAAGAGATGCTCTTTTCGTAGAGAGACGTAAAGTGCTTAGGTATAACTAATAATTGTCGATTTCTGGTAGCCAAGTCATTGATGTTTTCGAATTTCTTGAGTTTATTTAAAAGACATTCTGGTTTCTTATTGACTAAAATTTTCATTTTATAATTCTCTTTGTACTCATGGCTTATGTGATTAAATTTCTGTATACTTAGAGGAAAACGGTAGCAAGAATTTTGTAGCCGTGGTAACTTGTCCTTATAATTTTTTATTATAACTGGGCCATATGCACTTGCGCAGTATGAAACGCTTGAAATTATAAGAGAATCGTACAATGACATTTTCAGGTTACTGTTTAATATGCTCGTATTTCTTTGAGGATATATTTATTTGAGAATACTATATGATTTTGAACATAATTTAATATGGAAATCAAATTTTAATTCATTGTCCAACCATAACTCTAAATGTTTGCTAATGGTTGCAATTCGTAATGGAATTTTATTAATTGCTAATTGATAAAGATTTTCTGCTATATTACGCCTGTTTCTTCACCTAGAAAATATTGTTTTAGATTAATTAGCATTTAGTGTCAAGTCATGAGCTGCTGAGATATTGAAAAGTAAGTCCAGATCGTTGTTAATTAGATTAAAAGAGGGAACCACATCGTCAGTGGCAAAGTTGTAATATATTTGTGTATCATCAATGTCAGGTGATGAGGTTTCAAGTTCAGAGGTACAACATAAAAATACTCATAATCTTATGAAGAAGAATAGAGAAAGGAGTTTTCGGGATCGTTGCATAAGTTGTAATAGGTATGGCAGTTTCTCTCCAGAAAATTATCATTTTTTATAGACTTCGCAAAGGCGCTTGATCCACCGCTGATCTTGCGATGACCCTGATTTTTTCTCCTACCGATTTTGTTCTTGAATCTACCGAATCTTAACGACACTATCTACCGATTTCGTGTTTTCAGATTCGACAGCACTGCTCCTGTATGACTATCACTAATGACTAATGGCATAATCTGGCTCTCCAACTGCTCCATGAATTATAGCCGTTATAATGATTCCTTTATTTTATTACTTCACGCGTTGTACCTCTAAAAAGCGATAGTGAAAGTGTAGCTAAGTAAAATTAATCATCATTAAAACATTTTTCTGATTTCATCGTTCAAAGTATACAGGGTATAATAGCTGGACGTGAATATCTAAATGGATAATAATGTATTCAATTGGCAAACAATGCATATTGCAGTCATGAGGTCTGCTAACATCCATCACGTTCAATCCCATAGAACCCGTTAATTAATTGCGTTTTACTAATTGAAGCGTTGCTTGACCTATGCTCCATTTTGTGTAAATTCAAACGTAACACATTAATTCACGAATTAAAGTAGATGATGAATACGGAGCAGCTGTTTATGTTAGTTTGAAGAAAATCCAATAATTGTTACTTCAAGCTATATTTTTGGGAGTATGCAAAATATTATGAAATGAAATTTCAAAAATTTAAGCGTGTTCTACAAATTCGATCAACACCTGATCCTGTGTAAATCGAGTACGTAAACCCCTAATATATCAGTTGCGCCGGAATTTCGCATCCTACTTCCCACACCTACTGGCGAGGAAGTATTTTAATCGCAAACATTTTTTTTAAGAGGAGATCCATTTCGTAGACTAAAGTTATTGATCATAACCCGGACGCTGCCTTTTGATAATCTGGAAACTGGTTCTATAGGAAGACAATGCATCAAACTAAATCAGAAAAATAACGGAATTCAGAGATTTTATACTGAGGTATGTATTTATTAATGTGTCCCAGATGGAATATAATATCATTCCACAAAAAATATTTATCTACCTTCCAACCGCCTTGTATATAGTATTCTACACTGAAAACCAAATTTGTTTGACGGCTCGAGTTCAATGTGTACGAGAGAGAACTCGTATAGGCTCATGTGTTAGAAAGAGATAGAAACCGGCTGGATAGCGAAGCTCATCACCGCACTACTTAGCAATCTGCCGCGTTGAAAAAACGTTACACCAGTTTCTTGAATTAAGATGCATATTCAAAATATGCGCTAGTTTATTATTTGCTGAGAGATCGTCTGAGTTGCTTGATTATAAAAAATGTTATCAATTAGCTTGACTTTGTTGTAACTTTGGAGTACATATTCCATGAGGCAGGCTTAGTATTGTGCATACATCTCCCATTGCATGTACCCTTAATATTTCACGACAGTAAATTTTAGCTTTCAGCGGTGGCGTGTTTAAACTAAAAAATACACAGGCCATGCATTAATTTTTGATGCTCTTAAACCCACACATTACACTATCTATAAATACAGGCCGGCACCGCCACGCGTGGAGCTGAACCGAAACAAATGGAATATAAATGTTCTCAGCCAGCCCCGTACTCAGGAGATATGTTTACAAGGAGTAATGTAATTCGTGGAATTGTTAGTGAAATGTCATGTCACGCAAGAATGACGAGGATTGTGTCATTTCACTGTTAACTAATGCATTTCTGTAAGTTGTATACACAACTTCGGTTATTCAAACCGGACGTCGCGTCGGCAAGCAAGAGAGCTGATGGTGGGCCCTAATACTGACAGGAAGAGGCATTTCTGCCTTTTGATTCCCACGCCTACTGAGTTATTGTATTTTTAAGGTGTTATGTGACATGTACATCATGAAAAACCATGCCGCTCATTTCCGTCGGTCTGTCCGTATGTCGGCCTTAATTTTTTGATGTGTGTACATTTATACTCTACTATATCATTAGTAATTCTACGCACCTATTAGAGGTATTTCACACATCATACATTTCTCTAGACATTAACTTGACTTTTGGCAAACAAATGGTGGTATACCAATGCGCAGTAACAAGTCTTTGCTCATTAAGAGGAATTGTTGCAATATGACCTGCTTTTGACTCTTATGCCGCGACCATCTTTTTCGAAACACTTCGAGAACGGATGACTTTTGTTGGCTTTTCTTCACCTTGGAACACCCAAACAGCCGATTGTCGTTTATGTTCTGGTTCATAACAGTAAATCCACGGTTCATCACCACTAACAATGCTGTACACTTTTTTTGAGTTTGAAACGGTCAAGCGTTTTTTGACACCAATTAACCCTGGCTGCTTTCCGCTCTTCAGTCAACAGGTGGGGTAGCCAACGAGAAACTAATTTTATTACTACTAATTCTTCATGAAAATTTTTTTAAGATTCAGTACTGACGTTCGATCCGCGCGGCCTACTATGTTTCTATATGCAAAACTTGAAAGACATCCCTCGTAATTTTGATCGTATGAAAAGACTATTAATTTATTGAATGCACTCTTCTGTAAGCAAGAAGCAATCATCAAATGAGCCTTCTGATGGTCCCTTCTAAATAGAAATACACATCGTCACCCAAATACACTTCGTATCCAAACCTGCATTCATACCGCTGCGACTTTACTAACGGAATCAAACAAATATTGCTAATTCAGGATTATAAGCTGGATGATTCTAATTCTTGGATTCAAGATTCTTCAAAAAACCTGAGCGCGATGCGTCGGTGCGTTGTTCAGACGAAGATAACGCTAGTATAGCGGCTCTCAAATTCTTCGGAGCTGCAAATAGTTGTGCCAAACATTCCCCTGTCTTCTGTTCATCAAGCACAATGTTTGATACCTGTACCTGATTTTCTGATATAACCATTCTTTTCAACTCTAATTTTTCCAGCACTTTTTGCATCTAGTTACCCTTGCCCGTGCATCAGTTGGTATATGGGGTACCCAAATGTGTACCCAGTTTCTTAACTCTTAAATGATCGCATATAACTCGCCCAATTCTTCCGAAACATTCATACTTTCTGCTTTCTGTGTGTTTTGCTTATCTTTCATTATAGCTTCTCTTTCACGTCCTACATTCTTTTTGGTTACGAAATCGTGTGGCAAAAATGTTAGCTACGAAGCATGTATTCCACTGTCTATGTTGTACAGCGTACTGACGAACCTATTTATTTGAGTTTTTTTAAAAATAGGCTCGTAAAAAATCGAAAGATTAAGTTGATGACTTACGAAATACTTATTCTTTCACTCAAAACTTCGTCAGGGCTGGATCGATTTTCAAAACCTACAATTTTTTCCTTCCTAGCTAGCATGACAGTTTGCTCTAAAATTTCGTCAAATTTCGAGCAATGTTATAGGGGCCAAACCGGAATACCAATATTTTCTCAATGTCTAGAATGTTTGCAATTTGACGTGGGAGTAAAAAAATGATTTTTAATGAAGACAAAGATTTTATTAAATATATTCAACTTACGGTGTACTTTTCTTCCTTGTTCTAAAACATAGGGCCACTACGAATCTGTTTGTTATGCCTTGGATCGGATTATAGAGCAGTCCTCTCCTTGCAATATTCACAAAAGCTTTCGGGTGATTTATCCCCATTCTG